CCCCCCCCCCTCAGCTAAATAAACTTATTTTAGAAGGGAGGTGTTTTGTATTTTTAGAAAACAATGTTTATTTGCACGGGTAAGGTGATTGTGCCTATGCAGAACAAGTGGGTTTGAGTGTTTAAACGCGTATTTCTCAGAGAAATGTTTGTTCTGACATGCAAAAGGTCCGTTTCTGCCAGACACATTCCATTGAAAAGCTTCGTGTTTATATCATTGGTACTGACATGGTCAATTTCCACGCAGCACAGTCGCGTTTCCATGCAGCACAGTCGTGTTTCCATGCAGACAGTCGCGTTTCCTTGCAGCACAGTCGCGTTTCCATGCAGCAGAGGTGGCCCTTATCGGCCACCGTACGTAGTTTTAAAGCTCACCATTTCCCATTATAAACATTTTTAATATATAAGTTTCTATGATACAATTAAGCAGTTTTGCAACTCTGGTACGTATATACACGTATATCATTTACTGTGCATGTACTTACCATATTTGCTTTGAGCATCTCTTTAGCGCGTTCACAATTCGACCTCGAACCTTTCATGGTAAAAAATACATCTTTTTCTCTTCCACTGAATTTTGGCCAGCTAATTTTCACGCTACATTCTTTCTCTATAACTCGGAAATTATCACTGCCTTGTTTTCGTATCAGCAAACGAACAAATTTCTGAGGGACTGGTTCATGTATGGTAACCGATACGTTGTCCTGTAAATATATGTTATTACATAATTTGCTGGCGTAATGTACGTTAACAGATTCAATATTAATGACCGAATATAGCGCTAATCTACCAGATAGGTAAAAATTGTACAAATAATAAAAAAATGTATTTATACACTCGAACTTACTGTTGCATTTGAATCTAATCTGCTCACTTCGTAAAAAAACAAAAATATTAAGTACTAATTAATTAACAGCATGCAAATTGCGAAAAAATAAAATTCATAAATATGTCTATCAGTTCATTAGGCGTGTTCAGTAAATCATCATTAGGCCTTATTGAAATGCTGAAAGATCTGGAATTTGATCAGCAATGTAGAAAATAACTTGTTAGGAAAATTATCAACACCTGTATCAAGTCCTCATATTATATAATGTATTCTGTAGACGTAACAAAGAATGGGATAATCCACAACTAATGTCATACTAATTTTCGCCCCACTAAGAGTTCATTCAAGTAGACACTGGCAAACTACCTGCATAGATGCAAACATTGTTTTTTGTTAACACGTTCTTCTTTAACTCAGTCTTAAATGTTTTCAAATGGAATTTCTTCACATCGTTGTCCAAGCTATTCCAAATCTCCACCGCTCTATAGCTGAAACTCCTTCGATCGGACGTTGTTTTGTATGACGGGATATGGAGCGCTTCCTTATTCCTGGTATTTAAATCCTGAATTTCGTTTCAGGAATTATTTATTATTGTTATTATTCATGTTTAAGAATATTCACCATCGCATAAATTTGAATTGCGGTGAATTTACAACTAAGTATTTAATTACTATATTAACAATAATAAGGATTAAAGAGTTAAAATATATTAAAACGTTACTTTATACTTATATAAAATCTGTTTTTAAATGTTGCTACTGTCATTAAAAATAGCCACAGTGCTCGGAAAGAAGCTGCGGCGGTACCGTTCTGTTCAGCATTTGATGGTAGTTAATGCATTAGAATTTCTTAGGTTGTAATCGTAACAGGTGTCTCTCGGTGCAGGAATGTGACTAAATAAAGGACTTCCTTGTGGTATATTTTTCAAGGTTTTAAGGCAAAGTTTTTCTCGTCTCTCGTCTAGCCGGTCGCATTTCAGAAATGTTAGGACTTCGCTATAGGTGTATTCTGGTAAAATAATTCTAGGTGCGCGTTTCTGGACTCGTTCTAACTGGTTAGCAAGATAAGAAGGTGAAGTATTATGTCAAGCGTATGATCGCGAAATAGATCTCAAGTAAATCTTCAGCAGGGACGCCACTTCGGCGTAAAGTGCGGATAATGTACAACCGTTTAGATGCTTTGGAAACGACTGAATCAATGTGTTCGTTCTATTTTAGATTGTTCTGAATAATAAGACCAAGAACTTTGTGAGACTGAACGATTTCAAGCGCTTGTTCATCTATCAATAATGGCAATAGTTCAGGTTTATCTTTCTGGAAACAAATGCGTAGTTCTTTACATTTTTAACGTTAAGTTTCATATAGTTCTGTAGAGACCAAGCACAGATTGAGTCAAGATTAGATTGCATGTTAGAATTGCTATTCTTTGCCAGTCACTCCGAGGTTGATACGTCGTCAACATATTTCCAAAAATCTGTTCCGCTGGATCTGGGATTGAGATTATTTATCATTACAGAAAACAAAATTGGACCAAGCTTTGTCCCCTGTGGGACGCTAGCTTTCATTGGTAACCAACCCGAGATTATATCTCCTAATTTAACTCTGTGTCGACGGTTAGAAAGAAAGTTCAAAAACTCATTAATAATTCAGGAGGAAAACACAAAGAAAAATCATAAGCGTGTCGTGGTTTTATATGTGATAAAAAATCAAGTTAACTTACATAAACTTTAGCATTGATTTTCTCTGTTTGGACAAAGTTTATTTTAAAAATTACTTCGCCAATGAACTCGTATAAGATGAGTCGTTTTTGAATCTATTTAAAGCACTTGTAGTCATGTTTTATCACATATAAAACACTCCGCTACGCGTCGTGTTTCATATGTGATAAAACACTCCTACGCGTGCTTTAAATAGTACTTAATTATCCATGGTACCAAGGATCGTCGAACTCCTAGATCCAATAGTTTGGATATTACCATATTATGACCAATACGGTCAAAGGCCTTTGTAAAATCGAGGAAACATATCCATAGGTGTCTTCCGTTACCATCTAATAAGGACAACCAAGTTTGAATCATGCCCAAAAGAGAGTAAGTCGTCGATGTTCCCTTCACACATCCAAAATGTCTTGGGTCAATTCTGTCTTCCATATCGGTTATCAACCAGGAGACTACAAAGTCTTCTAGGACTTACATAGACAATATGTCAGTGAAATAGATCTTGTCTCTTCTTCGCAAGAAGGCTGTTGTTTCTTAGGGATAGGGATAATATCTGAATCCTTCCAGATTTTAGGGACAGATCCAGATGCGAGTGATGCGTTAAAAATAGTTGTAACAGGCTCGGAAAGTTCGAAAGCGAAATCCCTTAAGATTCGACAAGGAATATTGTCCGGGACGCTGGATTTGAAAGGTTTGATTGTTGATAACTTCTTACATACTTCATAGCCTCCTCCGCAGGCCTCTCTATGGGTTTTAGCCTGCGAATGGGTTTTGAAAAAAAATTTTCTGGGAGAGAGGCCTGCCATAAATCGAACAAAATAGACGTATCTCAAATATTAGTGGCCGTGTTACGTTACCCCACCCCCTAAGTAGGCTTTTGACCCTAATTATATATTCAGTTTGAAATCTTCGGGCGAGGAGCGAAACTTGCGAGTATTAACTCAAAAATGTTTTAAAATGCATCGAAATATTCAAGTTATACGAAAATTAGTTGGTCAATTGAAAGGATTATATATCGCAATGTCTCTCGCGGTCTAAAAACGACGTGCAAATTTAATTGAATCGCTCGCTCGAAGCAGCCAAATGTTTACAATGTATCAATTGTTCAGCCGAGGAACTACAATTTGAGGAAATTATCTGGCATAATTTCGAACGCAAAACGAAGAATGGAACGATACGAAAGGTATAATTTGTTTAATAAAGGAATTATGTTGAATTGTATTGTTTTCTGGAATATTATTTTGGCATGTTTATTTATATGAAGGGGTTGACATTTTGATTATATTTTACTAATTTTAGTCAAATCATCAGACATTTGGCAACATGTTAAGTGAATTGATATATAAAAGGAAAAGATCTTTCTGTTGAAGCAACCATTTCAATAAGTGAGGAGAGATAACAACTTGGAAATATCAACTACAGAAATTTGATTACTACAAAAGCCTACAAAAATCAAGATTTTGTTGGCATCTTAAACCTGGTTTACATATGCCTGCATTATCATTGTTTACAGCTGTTGATGCATACATTCTTTTGTGAATTATTTAGTTGAACTTTTAACGACAATAGCCCATCAACAAACAGCAGGTATATGTGAACCAGGCTTCACTTGGTTAAATAGTTAATTGGAACTCACCCCCTTAATTAATATCATGTGAATATGCTAACCCATTAATAAGTTGCATTGTGATGCATGTAACAACCTCTTTCTAATATAGCATATGCCTAGTTGTGTTACACGTACTGGCCACATGACATCCATGATTTGATAAATAAAGAAATTTATGGTGTATCTGCATATTCTCTAATTATATGTATCTCCCTTGTTCATGTTTAAATAAAATTGCTATTGACATATATTTGTTTTAAATATAATAAATCTAGATTGGCATGTATCATGTAAGAGCCTACAATGCCAGGGGCCCACAACAAGTTCTTGTTGTCTCATTGCTTGCCGGCACGCCCCTGCTTTTACTCTGTCTAACATCAGACAATTTTACTATTCCAGGGGAGAGTACAAACAATGGGCTAATCTAAAGCTTCACAGCTTACAATTAATATGTACCCACCATTGAAAGACTTTTGGGTGGTTAATGTAACAATTAATAGCAAAACATGCAGGGATGGATTTACTGGGGGGGGGAGGGTGCACACCCCCTCCCTAGCCCTGGCCAGGGGGTATGTGTGTGCTATTTTTCATGATAAAGCAAAAAATATTAGAGACAAAATGAGATATTGTACACAGTACACTTGTACCACATGGAGGTTGTTTTGCCAAATTGTCAAAATACTGCTGTTGCTGTATGTTAATGGCGGGCTGCACACATGACAACACAACTCGAGTCACTCGACACCAGAGCTGGCAGAGCACCCCCCACCAGATCATGCTGGATCCATCCCTGAAAACACGTCTATCACCGGGAAGTTTCGTCAGTGACTGTTTGTATGGTTATAGGGAAATTTGCCTTGCAAAATGGATTTTACCCATGTAAATATTTTGTCTGTGAACTTTGGCAAGCAAAATGGAATGTATGTAATGCCTCCATTGGTTAATTAACAAATCCAAGGCAAATGTTATTAAGACAGGTCTTCATACATGTTGCACCACATGGAAAACTATTAGATTCTTATTAAATTCCAGTTGTCCTTTCCCTTATGTCTACATTACTCACACCCATATATAAAACAGGGCCACTGATTTAAGAAAGCTTTTGCTAATTTTCGCCACATCTGAGACACTCAAGTTTGAAAACTTTGTCTTTGTCCAAGGGATAAATTGCACAGTGTATTCCACAATAAGAAAGCTATTTGTTTAAGACTTTTATTAATGATTTCCTTCCATACAAGCGTATTAAAACAAGGCAAGAGGTGTTTATATATTTAATACGCAGTCACAGATGTCAACAGTTGAATTTACATTTATATATTGACAATTTTCGATCGTTCCTTTTCGTGTTACAATTTCGACTAAATCACTGCACTTTCAGCTTATTATGATATAAAATGTCGTCAACAATTTGAATAGAAATTTGTATATATCGACGATAAACTTTCAATTGAAACCTTGTCTTGACAAATGTCTTGACATGAATCGACGACAACGTGAATTCACTGCTCTGCAAAGTCACTCGTCTCTAAACAATCCCAGTAAATCGCTGCGTCGGCTTTCAATAACGTTCTCAGCTCCTTAGTCAAAGTTCCCTTTGTATTTGCAATGTTGAAGAGCAGGATTATTCGTTAATTTTACAGTTTTACTCGTCTTGTAAGCCATCGTGTTAAAAACAAAATTTTCTTCACTCCTTGCCGTAAGCCCTTCCTACTCCCCCTAAGTTTGAGTTTGTCGAAATTTGCATGCGCGAGCCAGTATGCGCAGTGCAAATTTTTGTGTCGATTTATAGCAGGCATCTCACCAAACTTTTTCCCACCACCCGATTCGTCGGGTGAGATGCCTGCGGAGGAGGCTACATACTTCATACGGTTCAAGCCTCGCGGTAGGTTCGGCGGCTGGGAGGAAGGTGGGAAGTTTTGTTACGTCGAGTGTTGGAATGTCATTATTTACTGTTGCGTAAAACTCGTTTAGGCTGTTGGCCAATTCGGACTGATCTAGGATTATCCCATCACGCTCGAAAATGAAACAATTGTTTTTCTCCGGTTTTCCCGCCATGGTGTTTACAATTTCCCACCACCTTCCCCAGTCGTCCTTCTTCAAATGTTTAACTTCTGTTTTATAATAAGTTGTTTTCCTAGATTTGATTTCTTGTTGAACCTTATATTTCAAAGATTTCCACGCGGGTATGTTTTGGCAATGAAAAGATTTTTGATACTCTGACCCAGTTGATATGTTCACATTGTTATATTATTAAATACGATGGCGCTATAATTCGTCCATGCATTTATAAATCATCAATGAGTCTCTATACTGCAGATGATCTCCAAATGGAAGCCAATGAATCGCCCGACGCGCCGGTGTTATATATGATCATATTTTCGTGGGTATGTTATACTCCTGCAAGCAATGTTTTGAACTGGTTCAAGTTTTTAATATTCGTTGCGGATGCGTTTGCCAATACCGTAGAGCAATAGTACAGTTTATTTGTAGAGTTTCGCCATAGAAGATGATATAACATTCCAAATGGGATCATCAGAAGTTAGATAATTTATCGAAGGATACTCCGTGATCTTTAGTGTTTGACACTGGTGTAATTTCTTTTCCAAGAAATTAAATTGTCATTTCCTGGAGGAGTTTACCAAGCAGCTGGCGAGTACCTAGAGAAACTGTCTTCTCTGGATTAATTAAGTTAACAGATTGTTTTCGAAACACCAAGTTGCGACTAGTTTAAGATACTCCCTCTATATATTACTTTGGGCGATAGCAACGTCTCCAATTGGGAACGATATGAATATTTTAGGATCACCACATTGAATGCTTATGGTACTAAAGGGAGATCGTTCATATAAATGGAAAATAATAGTAGTGACAATATTTCTCCTGTAGGACCCCAAGGGTGATTGGCAGAATTTCAGATACCGAGGAGCCAATAAGGACAAACTGTTTTCTATCAGAAAGATAGCTTCCTAACCAGATAAGAGTTTGACAAGAAACACCAATATGTAGCTTAATTGTTAAATCAAAATTTAATAGTGTTGAATGGGCAATACTGTTGAAAGCTTTCGACAGGTTCAAAAGAGCGAGCTCAGAAAGTTTTTGGCCGTCCATTGCATTTAACAAAAAATCGCTAACCAAAATGTTCAGTGTTCAATGGAATGATACTTTTGATGAGAGGAATTGCGACCAGTGCGATTTAAAATACCATTAACCACGTTGAAACTGCATTAATTAAATTAAGCGCTAGAGAGGGCAGTTATTTGAAGGTTGTTCATGGTCCCATCCTTCAACTGTGGTATAATTTTGGCAATTTTCCAGGAGTCTGGGAACGTCCAGGTGGTAAATGGGCTGTCGATAATATCTGTCACGGGGCCTAGAATGACAGGAAGGCAAGCCTTGATGATGGGCATGCTAATTTTGTCGGGTCCTGGAAATTTATTTGACGGCATAGATGGTATTATGTACTGGACTTCTGTGCAGGTAACAGGAACATAGTCAAACAACTCTTCAAACTAACATTCAGATGTCCTAGTTTGATACTCTGACCCAGTTGATATATTAACATTGTTATCTAAGGCTAATTGTGTAGCTGTTTCGGCAACTGTTCTCCCCAGTGAAAAATCGGGTTGAAATCCTTGGCAACCACCACTGGGTTCTTGCTGTACAACAAAGGTTAACTTTGTGCAGATTAACTTCAGCATATACATGTTCTTTCTCCGCAGCTTTTAAAGTGTATTTAATTGATCTAATTGGACATCTTTAAATATCCTCCAATCTTCAATTATATCTCGTATCTGTTTGTAGCGACGATGAAGTTGGTCTCTGAAAGTCATTTGGTTTATCATATATCAGTAGTAACAAAGTGACAGGAACAACGTCGGATCTTAATTGACTTAATTGGAGCGTGAACAACCAAGGTAGTGCGAATTGAAGGACATTATTCAATTTTCTAAGCCATGGAATTTACGTTTGGATCAGAGAACATAGAAACATAGTTTAACTCTTCTGATATAGATGCAAGGTGAGCAGTAAACTTGTGATGTCGTAGTTTTTACAGCTTCGCGTTTGGATGAATTTAGGTGGAGACCAGTAGATAACCACTTAATGGGGTATACCATAACTCCATGCACTTTTGTAAACGTAGCAGTTTGAACAACCACGGCGTACTAGAATGCTGATTAAGGGAATACAATTTTTTACCCGCCTTTGTCTTAAATTATTGATGAGCAGGTCTTCATTGACATAGCCGTTGTATTTGCCAAACTCACTATTAAGTGGAAATGGAGGCAAACTGTTGACAATGGTCCTTGTAGATGAGCTACATGCACTTCTCACAATTGAGAGAACTACAGCTGCAGTTGTACTTTGTCGCATGCAAGATTTCGCATTTCTAATGATGTTGTACATGCACGCACTGCTATTTTTTATGGACTTATGTCCCCAACAGAATCTAAAATATTTTTGCTTACTGTAAATTTAATGGCATGTACGATAAAGATGGAGAAATGTTCATTGAATATATGCGCATTCTACCTCCACAAAGCTTTCCATGCACAAATATAAGTGAGCAAACTTTACAAAATAATAAAAACACAGACTCGTGAAACGAAGTGGAAATTTATGAATTCCATGATCTGCATTCTTGATGTACGATTTTTGCAGAGTTGACATGAGAATAAAAATAAGAGTGTGTAAGCCACTGATACTTACTATGCGATGTCTTATAGCCAGTCGTGCATTTTCACAACCAATTATAGTGCCAGTGACTGTAAAACCAGATTCTTTCCCGGAGTTATCTCCTTTACAAGATGTAATCCTCGTATCTGTCTCCTGTTTAAGTTCATTTATATTTCTTCCGCCAGTTCCAATAACAATCCCCATATACTCCTGTGGTACAGGAACAAATATTTTCTCAGACCTCGACATCTTGCATCAGTTGCACTGCATTAGGCCGGGGCATTCTAGGGTAAATAGAGAAGAAATGAGTCTTATACCATTTGCATTATAGACTAAATTTTGACCTAAACAAGTCTAGACAACAGTTTCATCACAGCTTGAAAGAGCATCACAAAATTAGTAATATTCCAAAGTGTCGTTACGAAATGTTGTAAAATGCGGATAATATAGCCCTGCGAAGTTTGCCGTTTTTCAGTCATTTTGCATTACGCGGGGGAAATTGACAGCCCAATACCCTTTGGGGTTGTCAATTTCCCGTTTGTAATACAAAATGATTGAAAAACGGCAAACTTCGCAAGGCTATATTATCCGCATTTTACAACATTTCGCAACGAAACTTTGGAATATTACTAATTTAAATTTGTGATGCTCTTTCAAGCTGTGATGAAATTTCTGTCTAGACTTGTTTAGATCAAAATTTAGTCTATAATGCAAATGGTCCATTCCGTTACGTCAAGAGTTTTGAGTTAAAATTCTTGTGCCGTGGGTAAAGTCATGGTAAAGTAATGTGTAAAGTCAAGCATTTTTCAATTTAACTTTGAAGAAAGGACAAGAAGAGATTTCTAACAACAACGAGTAAAACAACAGGGGATTTTAATTTTAATTGCTTATATATTGTTGCTTTAAAATTGCTTTGCCTAAAACATTGTTTTCCATTACAGTGTAGGTCTAAGTTTCCTAAATTACCATATTTTCTATTAAGTAAACAAGCCTCACGAAATTAAATGAAAAGAGCAAATAATTTTCACAAAATCATTTACCCTGCATGTTGTTGGAAATCAGGTAGGCCTACGTTCGGTTGCAAGTATTTTTGAAATCTGATCTTCTACATTCGACCAGCATAAAAAAGCATAAGAACAGCAAGACGTTAGTCCTTTATTGAAAACGTTTTCTTGTAATGTATTCTTTTCCGCAAGATTAATTCTTGTGCACATATATTTTCACCTGTATATGTGCTTTTTGTTATCTACTAAAAGGTGATTACGAAAGCATAATTTTGACTGCTCTTCCAAAGCAAATATGCACGTTTGCATTTGCTAGCACCATATCCTACTTTTTCCTTCAATGATTCGTGTTTTTGAAATTTTACACGTCTATAGGGGGGGGGGGGGGGGGGCCCCCCCCCCCCCCAAAAACCCC